TTTACATCTGGTCTTAATCCTTCTAATATACACCTGGTTGACCTCCCACTTTCTACATTTCATGAATTCTGCATGTGTCCTTCCTTTTACCCAGATTCTGTCTTCCTGTCACCCCTGTGAGCACAGACTCCTGGTAAGCAACACTTCAATTTTAACATTCACGTTATTGTTTTCTAATTACTCTACGATCTTGCCTTTTCCTTCAGCTCTGGTCCAACTCAATTATAATTGCTCCACCATCAGTGGCCATGCCTTCTGTGCTGAAATGTGCAATCATCAGGACCCATTATCCCCTCAAATTTTATGGTGGACTGAAGGTCATTGATGAAGCAGCTGAAGATGAGTGGGTCACACCACCCTGAGGAGCAGGGCTCTTGTGGCAGTAGTGATGTCCCTTCCTTTGATCCAGGAGGCCTGGGTTCAAGTCCCACCTGCTCCATGAGTGTATCATAACATTTCTCAACAGATTGATTTGGAAAATATCCTACCCTGAGCAGCTGCTGTCTGAGGATGATGTCATGGAGCTGAGATGACTGATCTCCAAAAGCATAACTTCTTTGGTGCTGGGTACAACTGCAAACAACAGAGAATTTTCAGGATCTGAGTGGTCCTAGATGAATTCAGAGTGTTGTTGGGCAGGTTATCGTTGAGTAAATGCTGTTTGACAGCATTGTCAATGACCCATTCCTGCTCTACGGATGGTTGAGAGTAGACTACCATGTAATAATTGGCTGTGTTGATTCTGTCGTACTCTTTGTGTACAGGACATACCTGGACAATTTTCCTCATTACTGAGTCAATACCAGTATTGTGGCTGTATGGAAACTGTTTGGCTAAGGGCAGCTAATTCTGGAGCACAGGTCTTCAGTACTATTGCAGGAATGTTGTCAGGGTCTTCACCCTTTGAAATCCTTCATCCATTTCAATCCTTTGTCCGTTTCTTGATATCATCTGGAGTGATTCGAATTGGCTGTAGACTGGCATCATAGATGCAGGGAACCTCAGGAGGAAACTAAGGTGGATCATCCACTCAACACGTACAGTTGAAGATGGATTTGAATATTTCAGCCTTGTCTTTTGCATTGGTGAACTGGTTCCGCACATCATTGAGAATGGGGATATTTGTGGAACCTCCTTCTGTTTGATTGTCCACCACCATTCTGGCCGAGGCAGGACTGCAGAGCTTAGATCTGATCTGTTAGCTGTGGGATCACTAAGCTCTGTCTATCAGATGCTGTTTGACATGCATATAGACCTGTTTACCAAACTGACACCTCGTTTTTAAGTACGCCCCGTGCTATTTAGAAAGGGATTGCGAGTGAAAACAGAGATTAAAGACCAGTGAGTCCGTTGTCAGCAGTGGGGAAAATGCTAGAGTCCATTATCGCGGATTTTATAGCAGAGCACTTAGAAAACAGTGGCCAAATCAGACAGAGCCAGCACAGGTTTACAAAAGGGAAATCATGCTTGACAAATCTACTGGAATTCTTTAAGGATGTAACTAGTAGGGTTGATTAGGGGAAGCCATTGAATGTGGTTTATTTGGACTTTCAGAGGTTTTTGACAAAGTCCCACTTAAGAGATTAATGTTTAAAACTAAAGTGCATGGGATTGGGAGTAGTGTATTGAGATGGATCGAAAACTGGTTAGCAGAGAAGAAACAAAAACAAAGTTGCTAGAAAAGCTCAGCAGGTCTGGCAGCATCTGTGAAGGAGAAAACAGAGTTAACGTTTCGGGTCCAGTGACCCTTCCTCAGAACCCATGAAAACCTTTTGTTTTTTATTTAACAGAGAAGAAACACAGATTAGGAATAAATGGGTGTTTTTCTGAATGTCTGCCAATGACTACTGGGGTACTGCATGGTATTAGGATGCAAATCATTCACAATATATGTTAATGACTCAGCTGAGGAAAATAAATGTAATATCTCAAACATTTGCATATATCACAAAGCTGGGTGGAGGGGGTGGACTGTGAGGAGGATGCAGAGATGTTACAGGGTGATTTGGACAGACTGAGTGTGTGGTACATGCATGGCAGATGCAGTGTAATGTGGATAAATGTGAGGTTATCCACTTTGGTAGCTAAAATAGGAAGGCAGATTATTATCTGAATGGCTATAAACTGAGAGAAGGGAGTATCCAGCAAGACCTGGGTGTCCTCATGCACCAGACGCTGAAAGTAAGCATGCAAGTGGAGCAAGCAGTAAAGAAGGCAAACTGTATATTGGCCTTTGAGCACAGAAACAAGGATATCTTGCTGCAATTATACAGGGCGTTGGTTAGGCAACCCCTGGAATATTATGTGCAATTTTGATCTCCTTATCTGAGGAAACATGTTCTTGCTATAGAGGGAGCACAGCGAATTGATTCCTGGAATGACAGGACTGACGTATGAGAAGAGATTGAATTGGGTAGGATTGTATTCTCTAGAGTTTAGAGGAATGAGGGGAATTGCATAGAAACCTATAAAATTCTAACAGGACTAGATAAGGAAGGATGTTCCTGATGCTGGTGAGGCCAGAACCAGGAGTCATAGTTTAAGGATATGGGGTAAACCTTTTAGGACTGAGATGAGGAGAAATTTCTTCTCCCAAAGAGTGGGAAACCTGTGGAATTCACCAACATAGAAAGTGTTTGAGGCCAAAACATTGTGTTTTCAAGAACAAGGTAGGTATAGCTGTTGTGGCTAAAGAGATCAAGGGCTATGGAGGGAGGGCGGGATTAGAGTATTGAGCTCAATCAGCCATGATCATACTGAATGACGGACTAGGCTTGAGGAGTCAAACAACTTACTCCTGCTCCTGACTTCTGTATTTCTGTGCATCTGTCAGCACCCATTCTGTGAGTCGAGTTGATCCCCGGGTTTGATGCTAACGGTAGAGTGGGGTCATGACATTACAAATGGTGGTTGAATACAATTCAATGCTTCGTTGGCTCACAGCATCTCATGAAGGCCCGGTCTCGCATTCTAGATCTATCTGAAATCTATCTCGTTCAGTATGGTGGTGGTGCCACACAGCTTGGTGGAAGGTATCCTCAATGTGAAGACGGGAATTTGCCTCCCGAAGAACTGTGTGGCAGTCATTCCTAGCAACATTGTTGGGGCAAATGCATCTGTAACAGGTAGATTAGTGAGGACAAGGTAAAGTAGATGTTCCCTCTTGTTGGTTATTTGACCACTAGCCACAGGCCCATTGGAGCAGCAATGTCCTTTAGGACTCAAACAGCTTGTTCAGTAGTTACTTACTGAGTAATTCTTAGTGATTGACAGTGTACCTTCTGTGCACTTGCCACAGTCAGTGTTTCTTCCAAGTGGTGATCAGCATGCAAAGGGCTCATTCATCAGCCAGGGGGACAGGGGGTAGTAATCAGCAGGAGCTTTACTTGCCCCATGTTTGGCCTGATGCCATGAGACTTCATGGGATCCACAGTCAATGTTGCAGATTCCCAAAGCAGACCAGTGCCAACTACATACCACTATGCTGCTACCTCAGGCATGGTAATCGTTATAGACCAATAAAATCCCCACAATGTGGAAGCAGGCCATTTGGCCCATTAAGTCTGCACTGATCCTCCAAAGAGCATCCCACTCAGACCCACTGCTTTCCCTATCCCGATAACCTTACATTTCCCAAGGCTAACCCGCCTAGCCTGCACATCCTTGGACGCTACAGGCAATTTAGCATGGCCAATCCACTTAATCTGCACAGTTTTGGACTGTGGGAGGAAACCGAAGCACCTGTAGGAAATCCATGCAGACACGGGGAGAACGTGCAAACTCCACACAGATGTTCACCCGCGGGTAGAGTCGAACCCGCATCCCTGGCGCTGTGAGGCAGCAATGCTAACCACTAAGCCACTGCATCAGAGACCTTTTCAATAAGGTATGATACCAGGTGAATGACTGTCAGGCCGTTGCTGGAATAGTCAGTGGAGCATCTCTCCCAATCTTGGCTCAAGCCCTCAGGTGTTATAATGAGGACTTTACTGGTTCGACCTGACTGTGTGCCGTAGTTATTTCTGGGGCTTTGGTGATACTTGGAGATCCACCTGGTTTCTTTCCTTTTATCTGACTTTGTAGCAGTTAAACACAACAGAGTGGCTTGCTTGCCCATTTCAAAGGACAAATCAACCACTTTACTGTCATTCTAGAGTCACATTTAGGCCAGACCAGGTAAAGAAGGATGATTTCATTCCCTAAAGGACATTAGTGATCCACATGGGATTTCATGATAATCAGCAATGATAATTATTAGACTAATGGTAATTCCAGACTTGTATTGTTTGACCTCCAGTTTCACCATTGACTGATGAAGTTCAAACCAGTGCATTAGTCTGGGTTTCTGGATTTCTAGTCCAGTGACAATATCGTTATTCCACTGTCCACCCTTATGTGGCTCACTATTAAATTTTGCTTTACAAAGCCCCTTGAGATATTTAATTATGTTGGAAGTTCTCATGTGTAGTTGTTGTTGTTTCTTGTATTGCCTGTTAATTTAGGATAGCTGAAGAAGCATTTCTAGTAACATTCTTACACTAGTCCGTCCGTGTACTTTACCATCAGGAGAATAAGTAGCTACATAGCCTGAAATTACAGCACATACCCTGATCATTCAGAATAAATGTACATGTCCATATTCTTTTTCCAGTTCTGTCACAGTTATGACCATTCCCTGGTTGATCTGTGACTTAACTGCCTCTCTAAAATCTTTGCCTCTCTACCTGCCCCATGTCCTCAGAGGCTCTTAAAACTCAACTCTTCCAGCAAGTGTTCAGTCACCTCTCCTAATATCTCTTCTCATTGTGGAATGCTAGGTACATGAATGGTGTCTATGTCGAAGGCAGCCTGCAAAAAATACTGAACTGCATTTGTGTGTCCACATGGGAATATCTTTCGTCCACAAGTTAGGGTGAAGTAATATGTTACTTATAAATGCTTTTGCATTGTCAATGTTCATTAGAATGTTTCTGATGGAAATTATGTTCTCTCTTTATTAGCTACTCACTGCTTTCCCTATGTGAAGAAGCGCATCCCTGTCATGTACCAGCAACATATGGATATGAATCCCATTGAGGTGGCAATCGATGAAATGGGTAATAAAGTGACAGAGCTGCAAATGTTATGCTCCTCCTCCGATGTGGATATGATCAAGTTACAACTGAAACTCCAAGGCAGTGTTATCGTACAGGTGACTCTTCTTTTTTGTGTATAAATGTAGAACGGAATTAAAGTTTCCACTTTGGGTGCAATTGGAAATTTGTGCTCAAAATTTGCTTCAATTTCACTGGTTAGTTACTGAACCACGAATTAGTTTCATTCAAGGTCCACTTGTCAGTTTCTTCGTTAATTAAATGTCTCGTGATAATTTAAAAAAAACTTGCCTATGTGCCTGGGAAAATGATTGCAGTTGGAAGAGCTGTCCAAAACATTGCACTTGGTGGACTCTCACAATTTTGACAAAGGAATTGATGCCAATTTTGTGGGTGGTGTCAGATAAGACAAACTGAACCAGTGGAAAACATGGGCATGAGCGATTTTAGCTCAAACCCTCCTCTGTCTATAATTCCCCCATTCTTTGGGCTATTTTAGCTTACAATGCAATCAGGGCGATTTCCGCCCAAAATAATTAATTGTAGCATGTGGGAACTGAACATGAATACATTTGGGATTTACAGGCTGGGTGTGACGTGTTTGTTAATTAGCCTGGGCTTCTAGCCATTCAGCTATTCATTATAAAGCCTAGAGAATAATGTACTTGTGTTATATAGGGATGTAGAGAGATGAAAGACCCATATCCAATGTGGAAGTAATAAAGAGTCCTATCAGTGAGACAGAGACATGAGTGTTAACAGCAACAGAAAGGGTATTATGCACATATAAATTAGGAACAGGAGCAGGCCATTCCACCCCTCAAGCTTGTTCCACTATTCAATAAGATCATGGCTGATCTGTTTATGGCTACAACTCCACACTTTGACCTACCCCCCCGCAACGATCTTAGATTCCTGACTAACAAAAAAGGTCAAATCTACCTGTGCCTTAAAAATATTAAATGACTGTACCACTCTCTGGGGAAAAGCGTTTCACAGACACACACCCCTTTGAGAGAAAGAATTTTTCTTCACCTTCATCATCAGATCACCGTTTATTTTTTAACTCTGTCCTCTAGTTCCAGTCCCTCAGATCTGTCAAGTTCCTTAGTTTTTTGAGTAACTGCCTGTGTATTGTGACAACTAAGTATCTGTCTGTTATTAATAATGTTAGCAGAAAAATCATGAATTCTCCATAACATTTGGAAATGAGGAAATGAGCACATATTTTAAAGACCACTGACCTATGACTGGAATAGGGACTGATAGCATATATACAATGGATGACACAACACTTTTTAATATGTATTTATGTAGCTGTCTCTGTAATGCAGGTGGTGGTACGCTTGCCTCTGAGTCGTAATGTTCGTGGCTCAAGGAAACTGCTGCCAATGTGGATGGTGGGCACTGAAGTAGCAGGGGATTTGGAAGGAATTTCAATGGGCAGTGAAACTTGGTTTCTGGGTGGGTGATTTAGAGACTGGTGGAATGGGACTGTATTGATAGGAGTGCCAGGATGGATTCAAGTGGGCCAAATGGCCTCTACCTGTGTTGTAATGACTCTACTGCTCCAAGTTCCACTCCAGGACTTGAGCACAAAACTCCAATGACATTACCAGTCTAGTGTTGGGGGAGTACACTACTGTGCATCTTTTAAATGAGGTGCCAAGCCAAGACCTGATCTGCCCCCTCAAGAGCATGTAAAAAGTCCCATGATCACTACTTTGAAGAGCAGGGTAAGTTCTCCATGCTGTCCTGGTCAATATCTGTTCCTCAGTCAATATCACAAAAGCACATTACCTAGTTATTATCGCATTGCTGTGCGAGCTTATAGTGTGCAGCTTGACTGCTGCGTTTCCTGCTTTATGACAGAGGCTACATTTCCAAAGAGGCTACAAGACGTCTGCTGTTCTTGAAAGGTACTATATAAATGCAAGTCTGTTTTTATTTAGGAAGATGTAGGCCAGATGTAGGTGTAAATATTTAGTATACTAAAGAGAAATGTATATACACTAGGGATGTATATATTGAAACATCAACAGATCATTATGTATTAATGGCAAGAAGCTCTGTAACCATCTGTGAAATGATTCAGATGAGAAATTACACAGGCTTTGCTCCAGTTATTGCAGTCACACAATAATGAGCGTAGTGTTTCCTTTCTTACTGCTGTAGGTCAATGCTGGGCCGCTCGCGTATGCCCGGGCATTTCTAGAAGAGGCCAATGTGAAAAAGTATCCCGACAACAAAGTGAAACAACTGAAGGAAGTGTTCAGGTAGTCCCAGCATTTCTGAGTTGTTACTACAGAAAGAGACGATTGGATCCCAGTCACTCCTCGGATTGAAGGAAACAAGAATTAGGAGCCAAAATGGACTGTACGATACCTCCATCCTGTAATACAGTCACAACAAACCTTGACTTCAACTTCACTTCACTGCCCCCTTCCATGAGAGGCCAAGAATTTGTCTATTTCAGGCTGAAATAAACTCCATGACAGAACATTCACATCCCACCCTGGGCTCGAGGATCACAACTACCTAATTGAAGAAATATCTCTTCATCTCCAACTAGAACGATTGTCCCCTTATTCTGAAACTCTGCCTATTTTCTGGATTGTGCAAACATTGAGCTAGCTTTTACAGCACTGTCATCAGCTGTGTTTAGAGAACCCTCAACCTCACCCTCATTAGTCCACCGGATGGGCACAAGCTAAAATCAGCTGCCCGCTCGCCATGTTTAAAGAAATGGCTGATTGTCAGTGATGCTTTTTAACAATTTTACTGACCTGAATAGTGCACGGATGTGCCAGTCTAGAGCTGATGTGGGCTATTAGGAAAGAGTCAGTCGTCTGGTTTTAAATGATTAGAGTAAAGGTGGAAAGGAAAGAGGGGACAGCTTATTCAGCAGCATCAGAGGCACCCAATATTCACCTTCCTTCAGCACCGACCAGCTGACAGAAGCCCCCCATTTCCTTCCTCTATCACCCTCCCCAGCTTTATAATTCCTTCCCATCCTAAAACCCAGGACGTATTTTCCCAGGAATGCCATGATGTTCCTTGCTTCACTTGCTGAGGTGCCATCAGTGCCCGCAACTGAGCTGTGGCACAGCTGGGAGTAAGAAGCTGCTGCCCAATCAGATTGGACCGACATTAAGAATGAAGGTCCCACCCACAGTGTATTATGGATTACAGGGTCTGCTTGCAAGGACCAAGTCAGCTTCCAGCCCCTCCTCTCAAGCCCTTCATAATCTTGTATGTATTGATGAGATCACCCAGCATTCTTCGAAACTCCAGAGAGCATAAGGCCAATTCATCGTCATCATAGGGTAACCTTCTAATCTCAGGAATCAACCTGGTGAACTCTCATTACACTGCCTTCAGTGCAATCATATCTTAGCTATGCAAGCTAGAAGTGTGGTTGGTTGGCTCGCCGAGCTGGTTCATTGTTCCACAGGCATTTCATTACCGTGCTGGGTAACATCATCAGTGCAGCCTCTGATGAAGCGCTGTTGTGTTTTCCTGCCTGTTATTTAAACTCTGGGGTCCGTTGGAGTTGATTACCTCACTTCTGGTTTTTCTTTGCATTGGTGTGTATGTAGGGTCTAATTCTACATGTTTGTCAATGGCCTTCTTGGTGGAGAACCAGGCCTCTAGCATTTAAATAACAAGCAGGAAAACACAACAACGCTTCTGATGATGTTACCCAGCAAGGTAATGAAAGGTCTGTAAACTAACGAACCAGCTCAGCGAGCAAACCAACCACAGCATCCACAACCCAAGCTACAAATCGACTCAAGAGCCTTAAGCTCGAAATATGCCCAGTACCCATAATGGAGTCTCACCAAAGCCCACTTAGCAGTTGCACAACCCTGCACTTCATTCCCCTTGTAATAAGGGCTCGTGTCATTTTACCTTAACATCAGATCATTTGTGCTTTGACGGGTTGCTTTCTGTATTCACAGGCAATTTGTTGAGGCTTGTGGGCAAGCCTTGATTGTAAATGAGCGTTTGATCAAGGAAGATCAGGTTGAGTATCAAGAGGAAATGAAGGCAAACTATAGAGAAATGGTTCGGGAGCTCTCCAACATCATGCATGAACAGGTGAGACTGACTTATTTTTTTGCATTGCGCATTTACTTATTTCCTCAAGGCAATGCTGCTTTAAAATCTAAATCAGAATAATCAAATGTTAAGCACTTGATTGTAAGAGGAGGGTAATATACTGGGCTCTGTTATATATTAGAGTATACAACTCTACCAAGATCAAAAGCAAGGCTGCTTCATCACTCATTCGTTCAGCTTCTGCCTACAAGTAGAATCTTTGCCTCATTTTGTAAATCCCTCAGCACCGAAGAAGGTCACCATCATGTCTGTACTAGCATTTTGTAAGAACTGTCCAGTTGGTAGCAAACCCCCTCCTTTTTTACCAGAACCCTGCAAATTTCTCCTTTTTATTAAGAAAAGCATTTTGTGATATTGGGAGAAGTTATCAGTGACCTTTGACATATCTGTCCTTTTTTGAACCCCATTTTCTCATAAAGACTCTCTATCTTCTAAAAGCCAGATGGTAAGTTATCCAAGTAAATTCAGGCAACGTCCAGAATGTAGGACCAGTATCTCTGTATCCAGCGCCCTGATACTAGGTTCCATCTTGGTCTCGCTTATGCAGTTTAATTTTCTATCGCATTTATGTGCTTCAGTCGAACCTTCTTGTTTCATTAGAGAATCACGTTAACGTGATTTTTCTTGTGTCCTTTGCTTTTGAGCACAAGGCATCAGTGTGGATAATGGGATAGTCTGGGACCCATAATAAATGTGGGTCAGTGTGCTTTGCAAATTAGTTGCCATCACACAAACTGTTTCATCATTTTTTGTGTGGAAGGGAATTGATGACTCTGTAATTTTAACATCAGGGTAAGTATCATATCATTTGTACAAATGATGACTGCAAACTGAACTGCTTCCTTGGAGAAAAAAATGAATTATTTCACTTGCCTCTTGCAAAATGTTTGCTTATTCCTTCTGCTTATGTACAGTAAAAGTTACTGAAAGTCAAAGGCACAGAAAAAGAGGAAACAAAAGCAACCCACATATTCTACTTTTAATGATCAGTGATCCTGTTCCTAAGGGTCATCCAGACATGCATCACTCAGTTCTGTAGAGCCAGAAAAACAAAGGCGATCTGACTCTCCCTTTCCATACTTGTAAATACTCTGGGCTGCCAGTTTCTGCTGAGAACATCCTAGTGCCATTAATTCCACATTATTTTCTTTGTGCAGGTAGTTAGGTTTGTTTTTCAGTTTGTACATTATATGAGGATCATTGAAGCTGGATAGTTCATTTTTTTTAAGTGTTAAGGCATGTGAAATTCAACGATGTATTTGCACAGTAATGCCTGAAGTGGAATTGTACTACGCCTAACAGAGTACGTGCATAACAATTACAAGAATCAACAAGATTGATTCTTAAAATAAATGAAGTGTATAAATGTCAATATAAAACATGGTTAAGGTGACTACATTCTACTAGAGCGAAATGGTGCCAGGCACTGCTTTTTTTTTTAAAAGGTGACCTTTAGTGTTTTAGACTTTTGTGTTTGTTTCCAGTATCACAAGAGTTTATTGCCTAACATGACACATGTTTCAGGGGGTCCCTTCAGTTTAAGAACAGAGTACCTTAGGGAAGGAATTCCAGATTTTAAGGCCCAGGTAGTTGAAAGCAGTTATGGAGTGATTAAAATGGGATCAGAGTTTTAGATGAGCTTGTGTTTAGAGGGTGGAAGCTGGAAGACAGGCCTGGAGAGCGTTTGGAAAAGTCTGAAGGTGTTGAATAGTGGTGAACAGGGTGATACATTCCAGGTTCTCCATCACAAAATCCTAGGAAATTTCCTCTGGTGAGTCGCTATAATGATATACTGATATACGCTGTAATGATATACTCAGCACTAGCATTTAATCTCATTTTCTTTTGCAAGTTTGGACAATTTCCTTTAAATGTGGGCCCACTAATTCATGTTTTTTGTGTGCTCCCTAACGTGGTAGTGATTTGAAGGGGCTGACTTGTGTGTGACCTGTGCAGGGCTTGTGGGTTGCTGCCTGACCATATAGCTTGGAATGAAGATTGCTACACCTCATTCCCTTTTCAATATACTTACATTGTTTTTGCTAGGAATACCAGCAACAAAAATTCAGCGCATGGTTTATGACTTCACCACACTCTCACCATCTTTACAGCTGTAGAACTGACCTCTTGGTATCTTCCACATGTCATGTTGGAACTTGTATTGGTTGAGAGTACTACAGTAGCAAGAGTGGGGAAAGTTTGGTGGCTGTTTGTGTTTCATGTCTGAACAAAAATTTAATGTAAGCTGCTTTACTCCCAGTATATGGAGAAAGAGACAGGCCTAAGATTTTGACCAATGTTGATCCTTCGGTCCAACTCACCCATGGGCAATTTAGCACAGCCAATCCACCGAACCTGCACATCTTTGGCTGTGGGAGGAAACTAGGGTACCTGACGAAACCCACGCAGACACAGGGAGAATGTGCAAACTCCACACAGACAGTCACGTGAGGATGGAATTGAACCCCGGTCCCAGGCACTGGAAGGCAGCAGTGCTAAACACTGAGCCATCGTGCCACCCCTTCTGGAAGTGTTAGTAATGGAACAGGCAGCGGTCGGTTCATCATATGACCCTTATTGCCTGATTCTGGTTTCTGAACATTGCAGTTTCAGGGGAGGAAGAAAAATTTTCTCTGCATTTCCCTGTTTACTTTCTGATTGGAATCCTGACAAAATTCTGAGTGATTGGTGTGGGAAATTCAGCCACTTATGTCTAAAAACGATACCTTTTGCAAGAATGAGAGATAGTCAAACAAAGCAAACCGAATCAAATTCTTGTTGAACCTCCTAATTTGTTGAGAAACCTTCAAGTGATTTTTTGTACCTTAACATTACTGTTTTTTGAAATAATTTTTGCTCTGGCCATTTATAGCAAAGATTACCATATTTCAATTTTCCAGCTGATTACTTGTAAGTGAAAGGTAGTTCTGAAAATATTCAGACAGATCTGGGGGCATCTGTGTTGAGAGAAACACAATTATATATCGCAGGTCAATGACGTACAGACTATGTTTCATAGCAGACTTGTAGATACAAGATGAATCCTGAAAGGGAAAATCAATGAATTGGAAGGCATTTCAAAGGAAAATGGTAAGGATGATATAACCTTGGGAAGGTCTTGTTAGTCAGCAGATAGCGACCATGCCTCTGAGTCAGAAACCCTGGGTCCAAGTCTCACTCCAGGAATTGAAGGCTAAGGAAAGTGTGTTCATAATGTGTGCAAATGCTTGATGTTCCACATTTAAATCCTGCCACTACCACTATGGCCGGCAGTTAAAGTGGGAGAATCTGGAAGTCAGTCATGCTTGATGTGGAGTCATTGAATCATTGAATCCCTGCAATGTGGAAGCAGGCCATTCAGCCCATCCAACCCTCTAAAGAGCATCCCACCCAGACCCATCCCCTACCCTATCCTTACATTTCCCATCCTAGACATTATGGACAATTTAGCATGGCTAACCCACCTAACCTTCACATCTTTGGATTGTGGGAGGAAACTGGAGCACCCAGTGGAAACCCATGCAGACGTGGCGAGAATGTGCACACTCCACACAGACAGCCTTATATTAAAGACTAATGTGCAATTTGCTTTCCCAGTTGGCTGCTGTACCTGCATTTTAACTTAAATATGATTGATGTACAAAGATCCTTCTGCATTGTAAAGTTTATATAAAGCATGTCAAGAATCCATGCAATAAACTCAGCTGTTTACAATCTGTCGTAGTAACTTAAGTAAGAGGGTGGATCAGTTGTAATGTATCCAAGGTTACTGATGATATAAAGCTAAGCAAAAATTTAAGCTGAAAGGAGGATACAAAGATGTTGGGGAAGAGATAGTTAAGTAGTGAGTAGGCAGTAAAAATAAAATGCTGGAGAAACTTAACAGGTCTGGGCAGCATCTGTGGCGGGAGAAACAGAGTTAACCTTTTGAGCCCAATGCAAGACTTCTTCAGAATTGAATTCTGATTGGATTCAAATTGTTAACTTTTTTCACAGATGCTGCTCGACCTATTGAGTTTGTCCTGTATTTTGTTTTTATTTCAGATCTCCAGCATCCTCTGCAGTACTTTCCTCTTAAATGAATAGGCAAGGTGACTGATAGGCAATACTATGGAGAAATGTGCAACTTCTGAAGGGACAGGCGCAAAACATTTGTTTAATATCTCTGAATTTTCTCATTCCCCATTTTATTTTTTCATGTCTCTGCCTGTCTCAGGGACGGCATTTAGTTTTGCTAATCCTTTTTACATAATTATGCAGACTGTCATAATCTGATTTTTTTTTGTTTCTCGTTTACTCTCACATTCTACTTTAGTCCCCCTTGTCAGTTCCTTGGTCATACGTCAGTCAGTCTGTATAGATGATCATAACAACTCGCCTGTGTTATTCTTTTAAGTATAAGTAAGCAAATTGCCAATTTCAACTTTGTCTTTGTCAACAGACTTGGAGTCTGCACCTTCCCATATGCAGTGAAGGTAGATTGCTAGGAACATTCATAGAAATTTCTTACTAACTAATAATGGCCAAAACCCAGAGCAAACGTCCTGACTGCTAGTTGTAACTGGGGATTGTAATTTGATGAGGATATCTAGAATGGTGAATATGCAACACTTAACACATGACGAGAACGTAATTATTTTTTAACATAATCCTTGTCAAAAAGTGTACTGCCATCGGACTGTAACAATTTCATAGAATCCCTACAGTGTGGAAACAGGCCCTTCGGCCCAACAAGTCCACACCGACTCTCAGAGCATCCCACCCAGACCCATCCCCCTATAACTCTCCTAATCTATACATCCCTGAACACTGTGGTCAATTTAGCATGGCCAATCCACTTAACCTGCTCATCTTTGGACTGTGGGAGGAAACCAGAGCACCCAGACACAGAGAGAATGTGCAAACACCACACAGACAGTCACCCAGGCTGGGATCAAACCCAGGTCCACGGTACTGTGAGGCAGCAGTGCTAACCACTGTGCCATCCTTTTGTGTGCATTTCCGAATTATTTCCTTTTTTCTCTAGATCAAATTTTGATTTGGTCAAAAGATGTTTTATTCTAATTCATATTTAGTGATTTTTCTCTTATAATGAATTCCAAGGGAAGAGCATTTTGTATTGTAGCATTTTGAATTAATAGTTCTCCAGGTATTTAACCAGCAATTTAAGTAGGCAAAGTGAAGACTCACATAAAACATAGCCGGTACCTTTGAATTAAGTGGATATTTTTAAGTGGAAATTTATTAATTCTGATTTCAGCATTGTTAACACTACTGCAGCCATTTGTTCCAATTTCTGTTAAAATCTAGAAAGGGAAAACTTCGCTCAACTTTTGTTTGCTTCCCAAGTTTTAAAGAAAGAACATGATAACTTGCATTATAACCCAAGTTGTTCTACCTGAACATTTTAATGGTCAATCTATAAGCATGCAGGCATCTGAAACCTAATTTATATAATTGCCTGTATCTCTAGGATGTAAGATTGCAGATCCTGTGAATTCTGTGCAAATGAAAACTAACCAGTGTATTTTCTCATTTTCTATTTCTCTGAATGCTGCCCTCACGTAATGTGAGCAGATTGGATGGTAATATTCCTGTTGTGAACTCTGGAAATGCATGACATCAGTGTGTGTGTGTGTGTGGGTGTGTGTGTGTGTGCGCGCGCACGCACAGCATACTGAAAGTTAAATCTGTAAATTGAGTTGTACTTTTAAGGAAAACTTGTGCAAATGAAAGAAACCGCTTGTTGTTTCCTGAAGCCTTTGTGAAAATTCCCTGCCAGCCTGTGTTCTTCCGATTTATTTTTCTTTAAATGTTTTATTTTCTTTAAGATTTTGCCAGAGGACGACGGAATGAAGATCAATCTTCTTCCGAACTCATATCACATCTTCAATGCAATCAGTGGAACGCCAACTGGGACAACTGTTCAGGGCATTTCCAATTCCTCTTCCATGGTTTAAAGATTCACAAGTGGAACATTGTCATCAGCATACCAAGTCATTCCTGCATGTATTCACTCAGGACACTTTGGAGCCTCACGGAATGTGGGAATAGATCAGACTAAGTTGTGACAGTCAGGAAAATGACGTCAGCTATGTCGTGGAGCCAAAGGAAATAATGTTTGCACATTTTAAGCTCTGCTTCGGGGAATGCCGTTGACTTTTACCAGGTTCTCCAAGAAGCTTTGCTAGTCGGCATTTTATTGTACAGTTTTTAGAACTCAGTGGTGGAAATGGGTCCATGGCTTTGCTATAAGAATCTATCTTAAAAAAATATAGACTTCGTATGTTTAATATATTGGAAAAATGGGAAAATAATGTTAGCATCAATATTTTTGCTGTTGGTTTACATTTATCTAATGCCTGTAGATAATTATTAAAGATGGCAAATCGATGGATTGCGTAAGGAAGGTATATTTCAGATAGGATATATGTCAAGTGCAACAAAGGAGCAAAGTTTGAAATTATAGTTTCCATTTAATAACGCAAACAACAGTTGAGTATTGTAGATTCTATGCTGGTTTACATGGGTTTATATAAAGGAATACAGAATTGAGCTGTTGCAATACCTTTGTCTTGTATTTCATGTGAAAATACTGTGCATGTAGCTTTGTCAACTTCCACTGGTGGACTTAGCCCTGGTAGTGACCCTAGTAATCTGTCACAGTGCATAAATGAGCCTGAATGTAAAATGCATTTGTGATAATTCAACTGTATAGTAATTATCTGTGCTCGGGCAGTCTGATCACCAAGTGCGTGTAGCTTGCTGTACACATTTGGATTTGTAATACAGTATTTTCATGATGTGCAATGTTGAATAATGTAAAAATTTCACCAGCGACCAGCTTTATAGCCTTGCCTTCAATAAAAAAAAGTAAAGCATTGGTAAGGGAATGCAGGATTACGGTAAATTACCTTCTCCTGTATCACATGCAGTATATTTTACAAATGTGCTTTATTTGTATTCTTGTACATAATTGAGTGCAATATTCGTCATAACGTAATACCCCAGATGTATACAGTCTTTATGTTCTGATTTATAGAATGTTACATAGCAATTGTCTTTTTTTTGCCAAAGTTGACAGGATATTATCAGCAGTCATTTATAATTTTTTTTGGAGGGGGGGAGCATAACTTAAATCATTCTCCCATCAGATTTGCCTTGAAAAGCTTAATTAAATTTTATATTTTGGGGGGAAAGTGTGGTTTTTAATATTATTTAAACTGGAACTGTTGTCCTGCTGTATGTAAATTTAAATTTTGTTCTCTTGTACAGCTGTAATAAGTTCAGCTTATTTGTTTCTTTGCAATTTCATTTTGTATATGTGTAACCTCAGGCCTATCTGATAAAAGCAGATTTCAAAGTTTTTCTAACTTCATGGTTTGCAGTTTGGCTATTTTGAGCTTTATTTTTGCATTCTCTCATTGCTTCATTGTTTAGAATGTCAGAAGAAATCTGAACTCCACATTGTGAGATTAATGCTCCAAAGGGAATATAATTTTCTCCCTTGGACTGCATTAAGCATTTCTAGCATGGATCTACGGATAGGAGGTTGGCAAAAAAATCAGTGGAATGAGAGAGATTTGGGTATCCTGGCACACATGCATAAAAGTTAGTGCAATATTCAATAATATTTAATCAAATGATACCAGAACCCTAACTGTAACAGTCAGGAAAGATTGAACAAGCTGTGGCTTTTTTCTCAGGAAAAGAGAAGACTGAGGGGTGACCCGATCAATATCTTTAAAACTATGTTAGAGTTTAATAGGATAGACAATAGAGAAGGTGTTTCCGTCGTGGGAAAGACCAAACTCAGGAGCATTCAGATTTTAACTAATAATTCCAATAAGGAATTCGTAGGAAACGTCTGTAATCAGCAGGTGGTGAGATTGAAGAACTCACTATCACTGGGTGCTGTTGTGTGAATAGTTTTAATGCATTTGGGGGGAAACTAGACAAACATGAGGGAGCAAAGGATGTGCTGCTAGAGTGAGATGAAGTCAGGTGGGAAGAGGTTTGTGTGAAGCCCCACATGGACTAGGTGGACCAAATGACTTATTGTTCCTGTAAATGTGATCTACCACAGATTGCAGCATACAAGAAGACCTCTGACCTTTGAAAAATGAGTTAGTGTATACACACAGAGTATAAAAGTTGAATCCATGGTGTCAGTGCAGGAAGACCCATTCCTGTGTATTATTCATCATGTGAGGCCCACTCCATAGGTCTTAACCTCATGCTTCTTGAAATCATAGCCTGCATAATCCCAAGCACAGACTTACAAGGTGAGCATTACCCTAACCATATCTTTCTCAGCTGAATAACTGAGGCCAAATATAGCCCTAAGCATGTTTTTATTAGCTGAAAGATGGGGTAACAACTTGTAAGCAACGAAAAATCTAAATATTCATTTTGGCACTGAAAAGATAGTACTGAAAAGATTGTACATCTGGGAAATTTATATTCCATAAGCATCTGTTGACTTGAGATTATGATAGTATTGTTAAAGAAAAGCAAGTTAAACTTGTTATAACAATAAACAACAAACAGTATAAAAGCATAAATGTTAATCTAATTATTAATATATTTCATATTTCATGTTTTTGCAATACAGAGTTTGAGGTGATTAATTAACTTTTAAGATTAGCACCTTCTCATTTCCTGACAAATTAGATCAGTTTACTGCTGCCTCCTTTGCACTGGGCCAAGCAGTACCTTTTGCACGAATTGTGGGTTGTAAGGAAAACTAAAAATCAATGTTTAATATATCCAAGTAATGGGATATGTATAATATGTAGAAGATAGCAGGTAACTCTTCTACTTTAGCAACAGGGTTGTGCCTGTCACTTGCTAGGCAAGCGTTTAATGCCCATCCCTAATTGTCCTTCACATGGTGGTGGCGACGTCTTAAATATATTGAATGGCACATTGGACTGTTTAAGATGTCAATTAAGAGTCAGAAACCTTATTCTGTGCCTGGAGACCAGGCTTTTGCAATAATATGGTAGTTTCCTGGTCACTGTTACTGATGCTAGATTTTTATTCCAGATATATTTGTTAACCAAATGTAAATAGTTCATTGGGATTTGAACTCATGCCTACCAGATCATTATTTCAAACATCCATGGTTATTAATGCTCTAACAAATGACAACTGCCCAATTGAGTGACAAATATGTTACAAAAACAGAGTGCTAGAGGAGCACAGCAGGTCAGGCAGCATCTGTAGAGAGAAAAACAGTTAACATTTTGAGTCCTTTGAGTCAGAGTGGAGCTGTCAGAGCAGCTGTGATGAAGGGTCAATGGTCTTTAAACGTTAATTCTGTTTTCTCTCCATATGTTGTCGGGGTCTCATATTTCTCCAGCATAATTTTCATTTCAGATTTCCAGCATTTGCAATTCTGTGTTTATTGTTGTAGCAAAAGTTAGCCATTTGTAATGAAAGACACTTTAATTTACAGAGTGAATTAATCTTCCAGTATTTAATTAGAATGAAGATGTACTATGTAACTGTACTGAAGGAGTAAAAACTGGATGCAGTTCATTAAAATGCCAAGGGCAGGTACAGAAAGTAATCAAAAATGGCTGATCAAATGTCATTCTAGTCAAATCAAACACAGGAGGGTAAAATGTAAAACTGAGAGAACTGTGGATGCTGTAAATTCGAAACAAAAACAAAAATTCCTGGAAAGCTCAGCAGGTCTGGCAGCATCTGTGAAGAGAAATCAGAGTTAATGTTGCGTGTCTGGTGACCCTCAGAACTCACAAGAGGGTGAAAGTTATGTTTCAACTATACAAAGCTTTGACTAGACTCCACCTGGAGAACTGAATGCAGTGCTGGGAAGCACATTTCAGAAGGATACATTGGTCTTGGATGGCATGCAGCATAGAATTAAACCAGGACTTCAAAGGTTAAATTACAAAACTCGATTGCACACACTAAGGTTGTATACCTTGGGACTTAAAAGGCTGAGGTGATTTGTTCTAACTTTTCACAACATCACCAAGAGGAGTTTGATAGTACCATTATTGCCTGAGCTGGCCAAGTCCTGAAGAATGTAACTACTGGTCTGGGCCTGTGGTTGGTGGTGAGGGAATCAACAAAAGAGATAAATCTACATGACGTCGTTCTCACCAATCTGTTGCCAATGCACCCATCTGTATGAGTATTGGTAGGAGTAACCAAGGCAAATCATGGTGACAAAGTCCTGTCTTCAGGGTGAGCATATTTTCCATTATGTGGCACCATCACAGTGCAAAATTGGGATAGATTTTGAACAGATACTTCACCTCAAAACTGGGTAGCCATGATGTGCTGTGGGCCATCTGCAGCAGTAGCAGAATTATATTTAAAAACACCCTGCAATCTCATGGCCCAGTGTATCCCAAGTCCTACCATTACCATCAACCTTGGAGACCAGCTCTGGGTCAATAAACAATGCATTAGGGCATGCCAGGAGCAGCAGCAGGCATACTATAAAACTGACCTATCAACCTGACGAAGCTACAACGGAGAACTACCTGAGTGTCAAACCACAGAAGCAGCATACTATAGACAAGGCTAATCATTCTCACAACCAATATGTCAGATCTGAGATCTGCAGTCCTGCCACATTCAGTCGTGAATTGTGGTAGACAATTAAGCAACTCACTGGAGAAGGGCACTCCAAACTACCCCAGTCTTCAATGATGGGTGTCCAACACTTCAGTGCAAACAACAAGGCTGAAACATTCACATCCATCTTCAGCAAAAAATGCCAATGGACAATCTATCTTAGCCTCCTCAAGAGGTCCACAACATCACAGGTGCCAATCTTCAACCAATTCGATTCACTCCACATGATATCAAGAAATGGCTGAAAATACTGGATACTGCAAATTTTATAGACCTGACAACAATCTGATAAGAAGACTAAAGACTTGAGCTCCTGAACTTTCCATGCCCTAGCCTTGTTGTTGCTGTACAGCCACAACAGTGGCATCCATTGGACAATGTAGAAGGTTGCCCAGGTATGTCCTATCCACAAAAATCAGGAGAAATTCAACCAGGCCAGTTGCCACTTAATACCAATTCCTCTCAAACTTCAGCAAAGTGATGGAATGTGTCATTGACAGTGCTATCAAGCTACAGTCACTCTGAAATGACACTGATCCTCAGTTTGGGCTCTGCCAGCACCATTCAACTCCTGGCCTCATTGCAGTCTTGATCCAAACATGAACATAAGAGCTGAACTCAAGTAGCGTACTGAGAATGGCTCCCCTTGCCACCAGAGCAGCAGCTGACTGAGCTTCAAGGGGCCCTATCAAGTGGGAGTCGAAGGATTCAGTTGCTGTCATCCATGTTGGTACTAAAAACATTGCTAGGACTGGAAAGGAAGTCCTGCTGAAAGATTTTGAACAGTTAGAAGCTAAGATAAAAAGCAAAACCTCCAAAATGATAATCTCAGGATTAAGATTAGGATTTACCCTAAACAATGGGCAAACTGGCTCAGGGTAGATAAAGTCAAGGAGTTACATGGGTGATTTAACAATTGGTGTGGGAAGAATGGATGTAATTTACGGGGCACTGGTACTGTTCTGGTCTGTCAGACTACACGGGAACCATGCTGGATCCAGTGTCCTGGTGAATAGAATAAGAAGGGTTGCAGTGAGGTTTATAAATGAATTAAAGGGGAGGACTATTACTTAGACTTAGGAAGCTAAAGGATATGGCTGCATTGTAGAGCAACTGATTTGATGATGATATGCAGATTGAGACAAGAAGGGACAGAGTATATACACATAACAAAAAGCAACAACCCCAGAATCAAAAGGAGAACAAAAGGCAAAATTAATGGCTGTTAAATGTGCATAGTATTTGGAACAAAATTAATGTATGAACAGCATAAATAGTGGTTAAAGGGTATAATGTTATAGCCATTGCAGTGACATGGTTACAAACATTTCAAAGCCGTTGTGGGATAATCTAGGACCAGAGAGCACAATCTCAAAGAAAGGGCTCATAGAAACATAGGAGGAGGCCATTCAGCCCTTTGAGCCTGCGCCACCATTCATGATGACCGTGGCTGATTGTCCAACTCAATAGCCTTGTCCTGCTTTATCCCCATAACCTTTGATCCCATTCGCCCCAAGTGCTATATGTAGCTGCCTCTTGAATACATTCAATGTTTTAGCATCAGCTACTTCCTGTGGTAATGAATTCCACAGGCTCACCACTGTTTGGGTGAAGAAATGTGTCCTCATCATCGTCCTAAATGGTCTACCCTGAATCCTCATACTGTGACCCCTGGTTCTGGATGCACCCATCATCGGGAACATCCTCCCTGCCTCTATCCTGTCCAATCCTGTTCGAATTTTATGAGATCCCCCCTCATTCATATGAATTCCAGCGAAAACAATCCTAACCTAGTCAATCTCTCCTTATACATCAGTCCCACCATCCCCGGAATCATCCTGGTAAACCTTTGCTGCACTCCCTCGAGAGCAGGAGCATCCTTCCTCAGAAAAGGAGACCAAAATTTCACACAATATTCTAGGTGTGGCCTCACCAAGGCCCTGTATAACTGCAGCAACATATCCCTGCTCCTGTCCTCAAAACCTCTCGCAATGAAGGCCAACGTACCATTTGCCTTCTTTACCACCTGCTGTACCTACATGCTTACCTTCAGCAACTGGTGCACAAGGACACCCGGGTCCCACTGCACACTCCCCTCTCCCATGTTACAGCCATTCAGCCCAGTTAAGACAGAAATGAGGAGGAATGTTTTCTCTAAGTGAATTTAATCTGCATACTATTGAACACAGTTGAAGCTGTGACACACTGTATATTCAAGGCTGAAATAGGCAGATTTCTAATCAGTCACAGAATCAATGGTTTTGGGAAGAAAAGCAAAAAAATAGAGCTGAGAATTATCAGATTAGCCACAAATTCACTGTATAGCAGAGAAGCCTAAATGGGCTGAATGTCCAACTTCCACACCTGTATCTTATGGTATAAAACTAGGAATTAATAAGAGTTGGGGAAAATGCTCTGCTTTTTGGAGTCATATTTAGCACAAAAGAAGATGCTTGTGAATTGTTGGAGATCAGTTACTTCAGCTGCAGGACATCTAGGAGTTCCTCAGGGGAGTGTCCTAGGCCTAACATCTTCAGTTGCTTCATCAATGACCTTCCCTCCATTATAAGGTCAGAGTGTGGACATTCGCTGATGATTGCACAATGTTCAGCTCCATTCGCAACACCTCAGATACTGAAGCAGTCCATGTTCAAATGCGACACTTGACCAATATCCACAGTTAAGCTAATAAATGGCAGGCAATGTTTGTGCCGCACAAGTGCCAGGCAATGATCATCTCCAAAAAGAAACAATCTAAATATCATCTCTTTGACATATAATGGCATTACCATCATTGGATTCCCCAGAATTAAAGGCTGAGATATGGTATCTCACCTCTTGCATCCACCTCTATCAACATCCTGAGAGTCACCACTGACCAGAAACTCAACTGGACTCACCAAATAAACACAGTGGCTACAGGAGCAGGCCATAGCCTAAGCATAC